GGCTTGCACCTGGCACGGGCACCGTAGCCAGCCCATGCCCCTTTAAGGGCTCCGGGGCCGGGAGAGGGGCAGACGAGTTTCCCTGGTGGTGCCCAGAGTGGCCACCAGGGAAAGCTGGGGAGGGCTAGCCTCCCACTAGTTTGAATTAAGTGGCTTCACAGCCCTTAATTCGAACTACTTAATTTGAACTAGGCATTAGTCCTCGTAGAATGAGGTTTACCTAGTTTGAATTAAGCGATCCGTTAGTTCGAATTAAGTTCGAACTAGCGGTTTGCTAGTGTAGTGCCTATCAAAGTTAATTTGAACTAACGTCTGTTAGTTCAAATTAACTTTTCAGTGTAGACATACCCCCACTGATTTCTTTATAACCACTTCAAAAAACTCTCATTTATGACTGCTTTTTCTCTTTCCATAGTCTGAGGGTATGTCTACACTTGCACCCTAGTTCGAACTAGGAATGCAAATGTAGGCATTCGAAATAGTCAATGAAGAGGGGATTTAAATATCCTGCGCTAACAGTAGGAGCAATGTTAGTTCGAACCAAGGGGTTTGGTTCGAACTAACGCGTCCCGGCGCGCACTTTCACTTTTGAAACAGCTGTTGATCGGAGTAATGCACCGGCAAGATCATGCTAATGAAGCACGGGATATTTAAATCCCCACTTCATTGACTATTTTGAATCCCTACATTTACATCCCTAGTTCGAACTAGGGTGCAAGTGTAGACATATCCTGATTGTGTCATAGTACACAGCTATTATTCATTAGCTCTCAGTGCTAATTGATCAACAGCTCCCTAAAAGCAGTTGATGAGTTTGATATCAACTATTTACATAGAAATTCAATATTTTAAGGTGATTCCAAGCTGCCAGAAATCTCTTTTATTTACTTATGTGTCAATAAATACTGATGAATACAGGATGAGATTCTTAAGGAAGCACATGAGAACTTTGCAGGGAATGGAGGGGAAGAGGAGGAGATGGAATCAAGCACTCACACTATGGGAAAGGCACAAAATAGCCAAGCAGCCTCTTCATCGCTATTAATCTATCCTCTGAGTAGCAACAGCGGCTGCAAGCCCTATACAATTATGGAAGTTTTGCTGCATATCAGTCTTCCACATCATTCAGCCTACAGAGTTAATCTCATCTATTATATACACACATGCAAAATATCATGGCTGCATGCTTTGTTATTTTGATTTAAATGTAACAGAGATGGATATCACTAAAACTTAAGTCTGAACAGCACTTGAGATAAGCTGAATTAAGTGTATTTGAACCCAGCCAAGTATGTACGGAAAAACTTTGTATTAAAATCACCTGGTCCATATTATGATACTACTCATGCTGAGAATACCTTATTCCATAATTACTGCCTGCAGAGTGAGGCACTGTTCAGCATGAAAGAAGGTAACAGCATCTTTCAAAAATAAACTATCAAAACAAGCAATAAAATAAAAGTTTTCAATAAAAGTATACTCTAAAATATTGTTGTTAGTTTTAATTAATATTAATAATACATCTGTGGATAATGTAGTTGTAACCCATAGAGTCATAGAGCTGGAAGAGACCTCAGGAGGTCATCGAGTACAATCCCCTGCCCAAGGCAGGACCAATCCCAACTAAATCATCCCAGCCAGGGCTTTGTCAAGCCAAGACTTTAAAGTCTCTAGGGATGGAGATTCCACCACCTCCCTAGGTAACCCATCCCAGTGCTTCACCACCCTCTAAGGGAAATAGTTTTTCGTAATATCCAACCTAGACCTCTCCCACTGTAACTTGAGCCCATTGCTCCTTGTTCTGCCATCCTGCACCTACTAGGGAGCTATCTCTTTAAGAGACCCCTGTGGGGAGGTAGGAGTTGAGTGTTACTTTGCTGGGCAGATTTAGCACTCCACTACCAGAAGCTTTGAAGTCAATTATAGTTCTGCCTCGAAATAGACGGAATAAAATGGAGTAAGGCCTCAGGAGTTGATGCAAAATCTTTTAAAGTGATGCCAAACAATAAAACGGTTCCAGCACTTAGCCACATGTCTATATTGGTCAGCATTTTACAAATACTATTAGTCAATAATGCCTTATTCAGATGGCACAAATCCAGGAAACTAATTTAAACATCAAAGTTCCTTTATACTATGCTGACATATATATACAAAATGTGACTAAGATGAAAGTGATGGACATGGTATACCTTGATTTTTAGCAAAGCTTTTGCTCCCACAGTACTCTTGCCAGCAAGTTAAAGGAGTATAGATTCAATGAACTGACTATAAGATGAATAGAAAGTTGACTAGATCGTCCGGCTCAATGGGTTGGCTCGGGGGCTGGTTTTGTTCAATAGCCTCATTAATTATCTGGATGAGGGGATGGATTACACCCTTGGCAAGTTTGCAAATGGCACTAAGCTGGAAAGAGACAGAGAGAGAGAAAGCCTGGAGGGTAAGGATATTATCCAGAGGACCTAGACAACCTGGAGGATTGAGCCAAAAGAAATATGATAAGGTTCTACAAAGACAAGTGAAGAGTCCTGCACTTAGAATGGAAGAATCCCATTGCTACACGTTGGGGACTGACTAAGTGGCTGTTCTATAGAAAGGAACCTGGAGATTACTGTGGACCAGAAGCTGGATGCAAGGCAACGGGTGCCCTTGTTGGCAAGATAACATATTGGGCTGCATTAGTAGAAGCATTACCAGCAGATTGAGGAAAGCGATTATTCCCCTCCTTTAGGTACTGGAGAGACCACATCTGGAGTATTGCATCCAGTTTTGGGCCGTCCACTACTGAAAGGAAGTGGACAAATTGGAATGAGTTCAGCAGAGGACAATGAAAAGCAGTAGGAGGCTGGGGAAACTGGATTTATTTAATATTCAGAAGAGAAGACCAAGGGGAGATTTCAGAGCAGCCTTGAAGTACCTTAAGAGAAGTTCCAAAGAGGATGGAGCTGGGCTATTATCTGATTGCAGATAACAGAACAAGGAGCAATGGTCTCAAGTTGCAGTAGGGAGGTCTAGGTTGGATATTA